CTATTGCCTCGTGAGACTCTTACGCTTCTTTCATGCTTAGCAACCTCCTGCGTGCATCCATAACTCAATAGTACACGCTATGGCGTTTACCATTTGTTAATTATAAGGTATCAGTGACAGAATTCTGATTTCCAAATACCTCCAAGTCCTCCAGATATTATTAGCACGGGTACCTTCTTCTCATGCAGTTTGACAAAGAACCACTCAACACCATCCCTGTAAAGGAAAGGAAATTATTTATTATAAAAGTGATTAAATAGTGTGTAACATTATCACAGTGGATAACAAGGTTTGTTTCATTATACACTTACATGATTGTACATGTATCCATTGGATAGCAATTTATCTGGTGGATAGCATTATCCAGCCTTCAAACAACTGGAGCCTAATGTGTAATTTAATCCACTGGTTGAGTGAAATGAAATACACAGTCATGTATATATAATAAGCAGAATGTGTTTTTTTCCCATTTGCACCACTGGGAACTACTACATGTATGTAAGAATACATAATTACATGTAATTTAATAATTAGGTAAATGTGACCTTCGATGGGCAAAATTTAGTTTTGAACATTGCATTTGCCATTGCCAACCTTTTCCCACCATCCCATGGTCCAAATTTTAACTTTAGCAATTTAGTTTTTATAGTTTTATTAACTAGTAGTCTATATCTACAAACCTTGCAATCTCTGAAGTTTCAAAATTTTCAGAACCTGTTTACTCTTTTGTTAAGTTTGCAATTAGTGTAACGTTGTGCTCTGCTAGCAATTGGCTACCAGAGGTGTATGAGGAAATTTATTCTCACTCAGATAACATTTATATTTTTACAAATACTGGAGGAAAATGCATACTGTATATAGACAGGAAACTTGTTCAAGGCATGTTTCCCATCTGTGTTGAGGTTTTCATGCATGCGAGAAGTGTAATTTAAAAAGGGTGGTTTTGGCTCTTAAAAGATGAGAAACTTATTGAAATCTGACATAAATTCAAACTTAGACAGAGGTCATGAGTTTAAATCTCCCATTCAAGTATGTAGTGAATTTCTTTCAGGCCTTAATTTCACGGCTGCTTAAGGTGGCCGAACACAGTTTTCAAGAGCCTCTGCCTAATTCACCATTACTTTAAAGCTATTTATGNATACACTGCGTTCAATAATGGAGAAAAATAGCGCATATAGTGTGGGTGTTGAGTAAATAAAATGATCGCTCTATTGAAGGCATGTTTGTTTTTCAATCCTTGTGCGCACGCTGAATTGCATCAGCAAAAGCGCGCGCGAAAACTGTGTTCGGCCACCTTAAGCTGTGCATATAACTTGGATGACCAATGATGTCTTCATATAATTATTTACATACATCTATTTATATTGGTATTAATGTGAATTTTCAGCTTCCGATTAAGATATTCTACAATTATATTAATATAATAATAACTTATTTCTACAAAAAAATCTCTACTTAATAAAATACTAAACCTTCCTAGAAATAAATATAGTTTACTAATAAATTTAATATTAAGTTTTAAAATAAACAGTTATATACATTAGACAGTTCATTTTCATATTTTGTCAAAAACAATTAATTATTCTGAACAAATTAAAGTTGACATTACCAGTGTAAACTGCCTAGACCTGAACCACATGCACTAGCTGTACATGCACATTACAATGCAAGAATGGTTAAAACTAGTAATAAATTATTACATGCTTTTATTGGATAAACCATACAGATAGGAATGTACTCATCATTCAGAGCTGTCATGTGAATTACATGTATCAAATCATGCAGTTTTATTAATAACTTTTAGACATGAGATCCTTGTGGATGGCAAATCAAATGAATTTAATTTTAGTGAATGCAATGTCAATTTATGCAGAATGCCACTCTGCAATAACGCATGATTTCATGTATGTGGTACCTCAAAGCGATGTGTGCATCTTTTACTATATCAGGAATTTGTGTTTGCTGGAGTTTCAGCTCAGTAATGAGTTCATTTCCTTTTGTCCACCTGAAAGACAAAAGGTTTTGAAGAGAACCAGGTAAATAAATGTCTGAGTGTTATATATTCATCCATCCTACCTCAATGCGATTGAGGCTTCTTCCACTATCTGTGAAAGATCATCCTTCTTGATACCAAGTTCAGTAAGCAATTCATGCGACTTGGTCCACCTAAACATTTGTCAAAATCAAAATGCTCTTTACTACCATTCAAACACTTTCTTCAACTTACCTTCTTAAGAGAATCTGGTTTTGAAACTTCCTAGAACTTCATTTATTGGTTATGTACGGGCAATTAACTACTAAGTAAGCTACTAAAATTGATTTTGATTAATATTTTATGTGACCCTGGCCCAGAAATCATCCCTACCCACTCCCCCAGAGAGATTGCTAGAAATTCTAAGAGGGAGAGGTGGGGGAGGGTTAAAAGCCATTATGAAAGCTTTTAAAGGAAAGAATAAAAAAAAATAAAAGCTTAACTGGACTTTCCCGGGGGTGGAGGGATCTACATGTAAAAAGTATTTATTTACCTTCTGAGAGAAGGGTACATGAGTGGATTTAATCACTATTTTTGTTAACAATTATACTCTCTGCAATCCTCCACAATAACCTACATGTACATGGCATTACTTGATTCATTGGAGAAACTGAGGTTTTAGAGAAATTATGAAGATGGAAGTTGGGGAAGTGGGTAACCTAAGCTATCATGGACAGGTGTCCCTTTGTAGGTGAGGGGCATGGGGGCATACTGTTACCATGCTGCAATCTCGATCTAGCAGTCCGGGACCAAGTTCAGGCTCATTGTGCTGTATGATTGAGCAAGACTCTCTAGACACTTTCACAGTGCCTCTGTAGGTCGAGAGAGGCACTGGCAAAATAATGTAATGCTGGGAGGAAGGGGCGGGGGTAACCTTGCAATGGACTAGCATCCCATACAGGTCAGGGGGATCAAGTTGAATTAGTCCTGGCTAGACACCTTAAGCTGTGGAAACTGGAATAATCTCCTGTATAGAGGGATACTTGGCTTGGCATAGTCTTTACCTTCTTCATGTGTACCTCTATTTTAAGGGAGGTTACAACAATGCTAGTTTCTAATTGTTTCACATTAAAATTTTTAATGAAGATTGATTTGTTCTTTGACTACATGTAGCATATATTTAGGCCTCTTGACCTGCAAACAGGGTTTACAAAGTGTACACTTCCACATAAGGCAGAGAAGACTTTGATTGGCAAGTTGTATTTCAAATTCTAAATTTACAAGAATTTACCAGTCGATTCCTATTAATAATTATTCTATGCAAGTGGTTCACGCATATATTGTTGATGACTACATGCCTATATTTAATCCACATTATAAGTTGCATGTATACATGCATGTAGAATGTAACTTAGAAGCAGTAGTATAATTAAAATCATGATACATTGCATTGACTAGAAAGCTGTACAGTACTTGTAAAGCAATCAAGGTGAAAAGACAATTTTGGAACACTAAAATACAAATTAAAGTATTCCTACTAACTGTGTTTCAGTATTCAGTTTGTACTAAATATAGAGTCTTGAGGTAAACTTACAAGATATTTCAAAGGACAATCCATTTACAATTTGTACATTGCATAAGAGTGGTACATTGTACACTGGTTGTTATCAACAGCAGCCACCCAAAGTCATACAAATTTAAGCATCAAAGTTCTAGTAAATGTTATTATCACAGTACTTCAGTTGAAACTGGACTGGACACAGGAAAAAGAATCATATATTGCTTAAATTTTTTTTATAACTAGGAGCCCACGACACATATGTGCTTAATGTATGTATGTGGACTTACCATTCTATCATGTGCGGTAATTTCTCGTCAGATGAAATATCTCTACAAAAAAATGATATTCATAATTAACAATACAGTAAGTACATGTACTGTATTTCTAATTCTTAAGTAAAATAATACAATTATGGTTTTAATTATGATAATTAATACATTATCATCATTATCATGCACATAAATTATAATTACATGTTGTATATAAATTAGGACTTGCAACAGATTCTGGCTGCATTTTAAACTGCCCTTGAATTCTTACCCTGAAAATTCAATTGGCATGTACTTTTCCTTGAGTTCTTTGGCCTAAAATGGTGAAGCAAAATGAAATTAATGGTATCTTAGGTCCAATTTGTTCTGTCTAGTGACAACATCAATTCAACAGGAGTCTTTAGAATACATACATGTACATGTTCCTGTAGACTGTTTAATATAGACAAAAGTGAACTCTTACTATAGATTGTTTTCATGCATGTGACATCATCACTTTCTAAAATCCAAAACTAAAGAGCCACCAAATTGGTTTTTACCCTCATCAGGCATATAAGAGGTGGTATATTTATATCTGTTTACAATTTTACAGCTCAATAGCATGTTTCATTTGGAAATCAGACACATTTGAATTTCAGGATTATGGAGGTGCGTGACACAAGGCTACGATCAAGTTTGTTAAAAAATATATACTTACATGTTTCTCATGATTTTGAGCCTTTTCAGAAGTTA